AAATACACAGGTGTACAACAGCAATACAACAGCAATACAACAGCAACCTGGATTTGTAATTCGATTTTTATTGGATTGGACAAATTACCACAGATGCGAGAACAATACTGTGTATATGTCTTTGATTACCACAAAGGGACTATTAGTGACGGTACGTGATTTATGGCTTATGGGGGTGGTGATGATTGTTATAGAGAAGCATGTGCAACATTGATAAGCCCTCCTACAATCTCTGTACCAAGAACAGTGTACCAAATGGATGTCCCCACCTCTGAATAAAAATAAAAAAACAAAACAAAACACGCACGCACGCACGCACGCACGCACGCACGCACGCACGCACGCACGCACGCATACACACACCACCCCCTAGCCATTAATTAATTATAAATGGTCCCGTAGCAGGAATTCGACCTGTTGAACAAACTTTAGCACTAAGTCCGAGTGCGTTAGACAGACAGACACTTGTTTAAAAATAGTCTTAATTGGACAAAGAATTGGAATGGGTTGTCACAGCACATGTAGACAGTGAGAATTGGTAACATTAGACACCATATAACAAAGGGACGCGGCCCTCGACACAGCGCTACGGTCTCACAGACCTGGCTAGGCTTGCTCCAAGGCTGTATTAAAGCTGAAGCTGTGCTAAATGCAAAGCCCAGAGACAGATAAGGGGACAGTACGGAGTGAGTTAATATTTAACGTCACATCGACAACATTTAAGCCATATTGTGACTACAAAAAGTTATGTACTAAGAATAAACATATGTATACTTATTTACAAACCTGCCAGCGAAGGACAGTATAACGAATAGATAGCACAATTCGATTAAAACTAGCTTCAGTTCAGTGTAAAATGTTAACTCATTTCAAAACAACACTATATAACATCGGGCTATAGATCGCCAACAACTGAAGGTAGATCACCATACTAGTGACCATGGGAACTTACAGTCCATTTGCTTCCTGCATGGACCCTAAATGGTTTTATACCATCCCCCAGTCGGGCCGGGCCGGGCCACCGGGTAATACTAAAAATGGATTGCAGAATATTAAAACGAAACCTGCACATTTGGGTCGATACACTTCCTGCCTTCACAAATGCATAGTTTGATTGAAAATGTATAGTTAGTGGTGAAAAAACCCACACAACAACAATAACTACATACCGAGATTCCCGTAGAATCAGAATAGAATTGTCTCAGGCTGAATCAGCACAGGATGCTTATGTTAAAGAGACGTGGATATCGGCGAGTGTCAATGGGCACGACATGATTATGTATATTAAAAGAAATGTTTGAAATCAGAAAACTTTGTAATATGTTATAAAGGATCAAACAAAGTATGCATTCACAAACACAAAAATTCTTATGTGTTTTCATTGTAAATAATACCAGCCCAAATCAAATAGCCAGCGCGTATGCATATGCTTATATTTACTAATACACATGAAATACAAAATGGTATTATATCTACCTAAATACCACTTCATAAAGTAAAAGTGAAGCCCCATTCTCTCTCCATTCCCAACGATTTAGGAAAATAAAGTCCTCGGAAATCAAAATCCGCAATCAAAAGTGTTTAGTCTCTGTTCAGCCCGACTTGGCCCGTGCTGTCAAAAACACCTTAAACCCTCACACATGTATCCTGATTGCTGTCTATATCTCTAGAACAGAGTTATATCTACCTAAATACGTCTTTATAGAGTCTCAAAGCGTTGTATTTGAAGCAAACACGTTGCTTAAAGTGAAGCCCTATTTTCTATACATTCTCAACAACCACACAGTATCACAGTCATGCTTTCGGTCTGGCTTGGCCCGGGCTCTCAAGCGCACCTTAAACCCCACACATATGTCCTGATTTGTGTTTAATTCCATAGATCAGCATTATATCTACCTAAATATCACCGTGTGATGGTACAAAATGCCACATGTAAAGAAAACTGCTTCGTTACAGTGAAGCCATTTTCTCTCTCCATTCACAACATAGCCTCAATCAAAAGTGTTTAGTCGCTGTTCGGCCCGGCTTGGCCCGTGCTGTCAAAACAACTTAAACCTGACACATTTATCCTGATTTATGCTTAAATCCATAGATTAGTATTATATCTACCTAAATATCAATGTGTGATGTTACAAAATGCCACATGTAAAGATAACTGGTTCGTTAAAGTTAGCCCTTTTGTCTCTCCGTTCACAATATAGACTCAATCAAAAGTGTTTAGTCTCTGTTCGGCCGGTGGTAGGACAATAGGCCCACAATGACATAACACCCTCAGACAAAACACCCCTGGGCTAAATGCCCCCATGACAAAAAGCCCTCAATGGGTAGGACAAAAGGTCCTCAATGAAGAGATGTAATAGAATACCAACAAATCTTTTTTTTCATTCCCACATGAATACAATATAATATAACATTCAACATTAAATAGCATATGTAACCATGTAATCATATGATTCCGTGGTACCTACGTTTCCGTGGTATTTTCTAATGACATAATTTCTCACGAGCCACACGCCAAATCGCGCCACCTATCGATTGTTTACGTTCATCAGTTGATCGGCACAGCTGTGAGCAAAATATGTTCAGACTTTCATCAATTTGCGTACATACAGTCATCTACTATTAAAAACTAATGCAACTTTGAGTCTATTAATGCTGAAGAAATGTGACTATTGTGCTAATTCTACAAAATCGATTACTGTAATACAATTTAACAACTTCGATATTACTGTAAACCTACATTGACACTCCCGGCTCGGCTGTTGACAATGTGTAAGATTGTGACATGTGCTGTGCGCCCGTAATTTGATCTGAAGGAAATACCACGTAAACATATGACGTCACCAAGTTGTGCACAATGGCTGCCTGTCGTCTGATATGGACAACAATGAACTTCAGAATGACAAAAGTGTATTATTGACATTAAATGATACAAAGGTATGTCGTCTAACACTATATTATGTTTATATGACTTGGCAATATGAGCGATCATATTCATAGTCGTAAATTTCTAGCACATACTTCACAAATGTAAATCACCAAGCACATAATGCAGTTGTGCAGTTGATACTTGTGCTACAGTTCATACCAGTCTAATATTGTGTCCTATACCAGTCAAAAGCGAATGCTGGGAACACCGTCACCAATAGCCGGCCGCTGGATTCCAAACTTTAAAGAAGGTAGCAGGAAATCAGCAATTTATTTAAATAATAATAGCGCTGACCATCTTAATAGACCATCTTAATAAACACCATGTTCATTGACATACCACAATGAGTACCTGCCCAACAAAATCAAACATAAGAGGAAGTGACCAATTTGAGCCAGTTCTCTGAAACAACATTTAGCAGACTTCATTCCATTGTTAAAATAACAACGTCATCACTAAGGAGCCTGTAACAACTATCAGCAGTGGGAGGAATTGCTTAGAAAACATCATGTTATCACCTGTCAACTCAAAATATGCACCGAGGGTGTTTTATCCTATGGGTTGAAATTTGCAAGGGCTTTTTGTCCTGGGGACATTAAGCCTAGGGGGTTTTTGTCCGAGGGTTTTTTATCCCAGTGAGCTTATTGTCTACCCACCGTTCAGCCAGACATGGCCCGTGCTGTCAAAAACACCCTAAACATCACACATGAATCCTGATTTCTGTCTATATCTCTAGAATAGAGTTATATCTAACAAAGTACGTCTTCATAGAGTCTCAAAGCGTTGTATTTGAAGCAAACACGTTGCTGAAAGTGAAGCCCTATTTTCTATACATTCTCAACAACCACACAGAATCACAGTCATGCTTTCGGTCCGGCTTGGCCCGGGCCCTCGAAAACAACTTAAACCCCACACATATGTCCTGATTTGTGTTTAATTCTATAGATTAGTATTATATCTACCTAAATATCACCGTGTGATGTTACAAAATGTCACATGTAAAGATAACTGGTTCGTTAAAGTGAAGCCATTTCTCTCTCCATTCACAACATAGCCTCAATCAAAAGTGTTTAGTCGCTGTTCGGCCCGACTTGGCCCGGGCTCTCCAAACAAACTTAAACCTCACACATATATTCTGATTTGTGTTTTAACACATAGATTAGTATTATATCTACCTAAATATCACTTCACAGAGGCTCAAAACGTAGTATTTGAAGCAAACACCTTGCTGAAGGTGAACCTCTCTTTTCTACATATTCTCAACAAAGACAGAGTATCACAAGCATTCGGTCCGGCTTGGCCCGGGCTCTCAAAAACAACTACTGTAGGTGTGTGCACGTATTCATGTGGCCACCATCTGGTCATATACCAACGGATTCGTGGGTTCTTTTAAATGGGTTGTGTACTGTACACTAAGGGTTGTGACAACACTGAAAGAGTCTGCACACAAGGCTGACTTCAAGGTTTTTACAACCAGTCACAGGTGGGCTCGATCCCGACACCTCATGCCCGCTGGATCACTAGCCTGGCGCCTTACACAGCCTAAGCCAGCTCGCCCACCACGCCCACCAACTGTGGGTCTTAATGCATCGAATACCTCACAGTCAACGAACTGACTGACTAACGGAAGACAAACCTTGCTAAACACAAAATAAACCACATGTGAAATACGTTTCGTGGAAACAGGTTTCAGCCACAAACGATGTTCGCTCAGGTCATCAGATGACACAGAAGCAAGTTAATGTATTCCAGCATAAGATCATACACACCAAGATCATATCGTGGAGTAAATATGAAGTAGACTAGTGTTGAGCTATTGTCATCGCATGTGATGCTTTTTTTCAGGTACTGAAAATGTCTCAAGCACAAAAAAGAAAATTCCGCGTGGGCTCAACCGAAGACCCAGATGATGAGGATGAGAATGTGGATGTGAAGAAGCCGTGTACATCGACTCGAGATGGAAGAGCACTGGACACAACCGATACAAATGTGTCTTCACTGTTGTCACTACCTGGCGCACCAGTTATTGAAATAGGAGAATATAGTTTGAATGTCATAGATTCTAGTGCATTAGGCGTCACAGTCATTCATAGAGATGGGCGTGTCCAGCCATCAGGAGTGATACATCAAAGTGTACCATCTGAAATGATGGGGGAACAGCTTGGACCAAATGAAGTGATGCATCAGCAGCCCGAGTCACCAGGAGTGACGCATCAGCAGCCCACATCATCAGGAGTGACGCATCAGCAGCCCGCATCATCAAGAGTGATGCATCAGCAGCCCGCATCATCAAGAGTGATGCATCAGCAGCCCGCATCATCAAGAGTGATGCATCAGCAGCCTGCATCATCAGGAGTGACGCATCAGCAGCCCGCATCATCAAGAGTGATGCATCAGCAGCCCGCATCATCAAGAGTGATGCATCAGCAGCCCGCATCATCAAGAGTGATGCATCAGCAGCCCGCATCATCAAGAGTGACGCATCAGCAGCCCGCATCATCAGGAGTGATGCATCAGCAGCTCGCATCATCAAGAGTGATGCATCAGCAGCCCGCATCATCAAGAGTGATGCATCAGCAGCCTGCATCATCAGGAGTGACGCATCAGCAGCTCGCATCATCAGGAGTGATGCATCAGCAGCTCGCATCATCAGGAGTGACGCATCAGCAGCCCGCATCATCAAAAAAAAAGAAAAGAGTTATGCTACAGCAACCCAGATCATCAGGAGTGACGCCACAACACATTGGTGATGTATACACCTTTTCTTGACATACACACCATTAATTTTGTTGGTAAACAGCTCGATTATGGTGTAATATTCTGAATATTTTGCATACTTTTCTAGAAACGGCAGGGTGAAATGACATATTAAAAAACCCCAAAACCCAACTTCTAACAGGAAAAAGAAACTCTTAAAAAACAAACACATAGGCCCAAAATAAAGCAGTATATTTAACGTTTTAAGTGTACATGAGTCAGTTAGGCTTGAACATAGATGAAGGACATTCGACACACGAATGAACACATGTATTGTTGTCATTGTCAGCATTAATTCAGTTTACTCAATGCACATGTGACGCTTTCTCTATCAAATCTATCCACGCAGCTCGGCGCAAAACGTTCGTGTCGACGTCGATAGACACGTTGTCTCCCATCCTGTTGTTGAAGGAGGAAACGCATAAAATAAGAAAAAAATGGGGTTTACGGACGGAAAGCATTTCCTGATGGTTTGGCACGTCTATAACTTGGAAACCTTTTCCTGCTTACACTTTTCATGTATCATTTTGGGGTGCGTTTTCCCACAATACACAACAACCACGACATGTTTAACGGGATTCAAACATAGGAATTGTCTTCATGACGATTGCTGTCAAAGTATATTGAAATTAACTGCTGAAAACGCCTGTGCGTTTTAGTGCTGGGACGGGTACTCGGGTACTCGAATCCGGATCGGGTACAGCTGGAATCGAGTCCTGTTGCTAGGAATCGTGTACCCGGAAAAGGAGGAGAGAACTCTGTAATGACAAGGAGAGAACTCTGTAATGACAAGGGCAGACAATAACTTGTCTTTTTCAATATTGACGTAACACACATTTGCATCATTGGCATTGCCGATTAATGCAGATTATTATTAACGACTGTAATATATCTGCCTATGTTCAGTTTCAGTGTCTTATTGACATCATTTCAAGTTTTTCTATAAACATTTCTGTCAACTAGTGATTGGATATTCAGAAAGTTGACAGATGCGCGTTATTCCTTACATTTCCGGGTACTCGATTCCGATTCGGATAAGTACATGCGGGTACTCGATTCCATTTTTTCCTACCCGTCCCAGCCCTAGTGCGTTTCTTCTTTTGGAAGAATGTACTATATAAATGTTCATTCCTTTTATATTTAGAAATACATTAACTGTAAGAAGTGAGTCCAAGTATTTACATGACACCCATATTCTAAATTATATTTTTTATTCCAGATGATCGCTTTAAAAATATCCGCGGTAAGTATAACTCATACCTGTAAATTCTGTCAGCAGTTAGTGACTGTTTACGGGACCCAATCAGGACACGAATCTGTTCTAATCTAATCTGATCTCAAGTCATAACAAAATCACAAAACTATGATTCCATCTCACATATATGTTGGATAACAAATTTCTGAAATAGTTTTCTCAGATACCCATGTTATAGCATGTTACAATTATGATTATCTTTCAGATGCCACGGAGGATTCACTCAAGCATGACGGAACAGAATACGTGTCTACCTATGCTGAGAGGTCTGCCCTGAGACTGTTGACAGATTGTGGATGTATCTTCCTAAAGGGGATGTCAGGATCTGGGAAATCACGGCTGGGTCGGCGGTTACTAGAAAAGATGTCTAAGATGGAAGGGAGGACTCCTCTCTGTTGACTTCAGCAGATGAATGGTCACTCATTCCGAAGAATGGCAAAACTGACAAGTCCAGAAGTAAAAGTGAACGTTACATTGTGATGATTGATGACATTTTTGGCCTGACAAACTTTTCACAATCACATTTTGCCGATTGGACAAGGAAGTTTGATATAATGTGGCCATCTATTGAATCTGGCCACATCTTTCTGATCTTAACATCCAGATCTGAAATCACCGCACAGTGTCAGTACCGACTAAACAAACACAATCTCATGACAAAGATCTGTCATTTTCTCATTGATGACGGTGAGTATACTCTTCAGAATAAGGAAAAAGAAAAAATGTTGAAAGTTATTTGTCATGGCAAATTTTCTGAAAAAGAAGTAGAAGAAATTGTCAAAATGAAAACAGCCCTTGGGTTCCCACAGGTTTGCACTTTCTTTGCCAGAAGCAGGGAAGTGCAAAAGAAGGGGTTAAGCTTTTTCAAGAAACCCAATGAGTGCGTCCTAGAGGAAGTTGATGCCCTCAAGGAAAGTGATGGTTTGAGTTACCTGGTTCTTTTGCTGGTATTGATGAGTGATGGGCATCTTAATGCAACCTCTCTTGATCAAAGAAAATGTACATCTGAATTTAAAGAAATGGTTGAGATGTTGAAAGAATATTGCCCAAATCTACCCACACGTCCAAGATTATTTGACATCAAAACAAAAGCAGATTCACTCTGTGGTGTTTATTTAAAGCAAGGCCAGAAAGGATATGCTTTTCAGCATCAGTCTATATATGAGTCTGTTTTGATCAGCTTCTCAGAGCAGTGTCCCAGCTCTTGCATCAGAACATTGCCAAGTGATGTCCTTGGAGAAGTGGTAAGAACCGAAAGACTGGATGGAGAGATAAATATTGTCTTGATACCTGAGGAAAATTATGATGTATTTGCTGACCGCATCACAGAGTTGCTTTTGTCAGCTGAACCTGAGAGCAGTGGAATGATAGTGGGACATCCTTCACTCAAGCACAAGGAATTTCTATCATTCTTGGTGCAAAGATGGGCGAAAAAGGGGAAACTGACAAGCATTATGCAGAGAAAATATTTTGATGAATTGTCTTCATATATCCGTGAAGATGAGAAGATTAGGTTTTTCAAATATGAATATTTATTGAGTAAATTTGTAATGGAAAGTAATCATCATCTGGTACAAGTTGTTGTAAATTCGATTCCATCGCCTGAAAAATTCAAAGACACAATACAGGAATGTTTGCCTTGTGCAATTTATGTTGGAAGTAACAATTTTGTCAAATGGCTTCTTGATCATGGTGCTGAGTCAAACGAGAATTGTTTTATAGCTCTATTCATGAATTCTAGCCAGAGTCTTAAGAACGACCTCGTTGATAGAATCTTTAACGGTTTTATTACTGCTTACGTGAGGGAAAAAAGACTACGCTACAGTCCAGAATTAGGAAAAGGATGTGCAATTGGTCAAAACATGGCAGAAATCTTACTGTATGCAGTACACATGGGAAACACACACATAGTCCAGTTGACAGTGCACATGTTAAAACACAAGGACGATTAACCTCAATGTAATCTCAGAGATATTATCATGGCTCTCAGATAAGATGCAAACACATCATCCCAAACTCACTGTGTTTAGCAGCACGGAATGTTTAAAAGAAATGATTCAAATACTACTTGCAACTGGATGTAAACTTCATTGTCAACATCTCCTTTTGTCAGCCTCAGCTCACTCAGATGCCACAGTTCTGAATCTTTTACTGAATCTTGAGACAGACATTTTGCAGACGAGGAATTACGTCGATGCCAACAAGTACTCCACCAAATACGCAACACCTCAAGAACAGGCAGCAGCTTATGGTAGCACTGAGTCCTTGGATATATTGCTGAAATATTCCCAAGGTATAAGCCAGCGTTTTAGGGTTGCCGCCGCGAACACCTTCTTGCTACACAGGGCAGCACAACATGGAAACGATAAATGTGCAGATTTCTTATTAGGGAAAGGTTTTCAGGTAGATTTGAAAGACAATGATGGCAATACCCCATTACATTTGGCTGTTGAGAACAGTCACCTTGAATGTGTGAAAATGCTTCTCCAGCATAAGGCACCTGTCAACCTGGAAAATCGTGAAGGACTCGTACCTTTGTCAGTCATTGAAATCGTGAATCGTGAAATAGTGACAGCTCTAGTTGTGGCAGAAAGTATCTTAAATCAAATGGATGGAAAGGGTAGAACAATTCTTCACAAGGCTGTTCTATGTAATGATTTGGAGACTGTAAAATTCCTTTGCAGCAAAGTAGCTGATGTGAATATTCTTTCACAATGCGGTTCACAAACTAGAAGTGTTGTTCACCTAGCCTGTGAGTATGCTGACATAGAAATACTAAAGCACTTGTGCACCTCAGGAGCACGGATTGAAGCAGTAGATGCTGACAAGAGACCAGTTGTTCACATGGCAGCATGCTCTCGCGTTGATGCTTTAGAGAAACTCACATTTCTCATTGATGTCCAAAAGCATCTTCCTGATGCAGAAGACAAGGATGGCAGAACAGCGATATTTTCAGCAATCGACACTCATGTCGATACTAATGGAGTTGAAATATTGGAATTCCTACTGAACAGAGGGTTGAGTGTGAATCACAAAGGTGCCAGTAAAGACAACATTTTGCTGTGTTTACTTAAAACACCTTTCAGACACGACAACATCATAAAAATGGTTGATTTATTGGTAAAGAGGGGCGTTGATCTAAATGCAATGGATTCTCGTGGTACAACAGCCCTTTGTCTTGCCATTGAGGATATGAATTATGATGCAGCGGAGCTAATTCTCAAGCTCATGGAAATACAGACAGAGAATTCGATCCAAATAGAAGAGATGGTTTCGGAAAAACATGTCTCCACTATGCCACCGAACAGAGGAAATCTGAACTTTGGGAACGTTTTCATGATACACCAGATCTTTTTTCATATTCATTTTCTCAGTATTGCTATCTTCAAAGACCTTGCATGTTGTATTGTGCAAGAGCAAACTACACGCTGACCGAAAAGCTTCTTGAGCAAGGTGTGAATCCACACCTTCAAGATATAATGGGTAGAAACCCTCTTCACTATGCTGCAGGGTGTGGTAAACCTAAGACTGTGAAACTTCTTCTGGAAAAAGGCGTTGACCCAAATGTAAGGGATGGAATGGGATGGACGCCCTTTTATATGGCTGCTATACACGAAAGATACAGGACTGTAAGTGCCTTGCTAGACAGTGGAATTGATTCAAATATACAAGACAATCAGGGAATGACAGCACTTCATTTAGTTGTGACGGAGAGAGGCCTCACTTTACAGAGCTTAGAAGCAAACAATGATTATACAGAGCTATCTTGTCTTGGTCCTTGTGGATTCCTCAGGTTATTTTTAGAGAAGGGTGTTGACCCAAATATACCGGATAAGCTAGGTAGGACAGCTCTTCACTATGCTTCAGATCATTCGGAAAACTCCAGTGTCAAGCTTCTGCTTGATCACGGTGCTGATCCAGATGTTCAAGATCTATGGGGCATGACGTCCCTCCATTGTGCTTCTACCAAAAAAGGCTCAGTATTTAAGGATACACTTCCACTGCTACTTGAGAAATCGTTAAAATTAAATGTTCAAGATAGGCGTGGAAAGACAGCACTTCACTATGCTTCTGAAAACAGGAGTAGTGGTTTGAAGCTTCTACTGGACCATGGTGCAGATCCATGTTTACGGGATCAACAGGGCATGACAGCCCTCCACTGTGCTTCTATAAAATGGAGATGTAATATAGAAGCTTTTCAACTACTGTTAAAATCAGTCGTTAACCCAAATGTCATTGATGAGCAAAGGAGGACAGCACTTCACTATGCATCAGAAAATTCAGACAAAGAGATCGTCAAGCTTCTTCTAGATCGTGGTGCTGATCCTTCTGTACAGGATCTGCAAGGCAAGACATCTCTCCACTGTGCTGCTGCGAATAGGTACGGGGCCTTACAGACACTGATCGAGAGAGGAGTGGATCCAAATATTCTTGACAAGAAAGGAAGGACAGCACTTCATTATGTCTCAGAAGGTGACTCTGAAGATTCAGTGAAGCTTCTGCTTGATCGCTGTGCTGATCCAGGTGTACAGGACCTGCAGGGCATGTCAGCTCTGCACTGTGCTGTACACTGGCGTCGTTACCGGTCTGCTGTTTTGCGGATACTGCTAGAGAAAGGCATATACCCAAATCTTCTTGACAAGCATGGAAGGACAGCTCTTCACTATGCTTCAGAAAATTCGATGAAAGAGTGTGTCAAGTTTCTTCTAGAATACAATGCTGATCCATGTTTACAGGACCTACAAGGCATGACATCTCTCCACTGTGCAGCAAAGGCCAAAGACAACAGCTGTGATATTTTGGAGATACTGCTAGAGAAGAGTGTGGACCCAAATGTTCTTGACAAGAAAGGAAGGACAGCTCTTCACTATGTGTCAGAACATTCGGACAAAAAGAGTGTCAAGCTTTTTCTAGATCACGAAGCTGATCCAAGTTTACAGGACTTACAGGGCATGACATCTCTCCACTGTGCAGCAAAGGCCAAAGACAACAGCTGTGATATTTTGGAGATACTGCTAGAGAAGAGCGTGGACCCAAATGATCTTGACAAGACGGGAAGGACAGCTCTCCACTATGTGTCAGAACATTTGGACAAAGACAGTGTCAAGCTTCTTCTAGATCACGAAGCTGATCCAGGTGTGAAGGACATACATGGCATGACATCTCTCCACTGTGCAGCAAAGGCCAGAGACAACACCTGTGATATTTTGGAGATTCTGCTGGAGAAGAGTGTGGACCCAAATGTTCTTGACAAGACGGGAAGGACAGCTCTCCACTATGTGTCAGAACATTTGGACAAAGACAGTGTCAAGCTTCTTCTAGATCACGAAGCTGATCCAGGTGTGAAGGACATACATGGCATGACATCTCTCCACTGTGCAGCAAAGGCCAGAGACAACACCTGTGATATTTTGGAGATTCTGCTGGAGAAGAGTGTGGACCCAAATGTTCTTGACAAGACGGGAAGGACAGCTCTCCACTATGTGTCAGAATGTGACTCTGAAGACTCAGTGAAGTTTCTGCTTAATCGCTGTGCTGATCCAGGTGTGAAGGACTTACATGGCATGTCAGCTCTCCACTGTGCTGTACACTTGCATCATTACCGATGTGATGTTTTGCCGATACTGCTGGAGAAAGGCATATGCCCAAATCTGCTTGACAAGCAAGGAAGGACAGCTCTTCACTATGCGTCAGAACATTCGGACAAAGAGAGAGTCAAGCTTCTTCTAGATCACGAAGCAGATCCAGGTGTACAGGACTTACAGGGCATGACATGTCTCCATTGTGCTGCTAAGAATCGTTACAGTTACCATATTTTGGAGATACTGCTGGAGAAGAGTGTGGACCCAAATGTTCTTGACAAGCAAGGAAGGACAGCTCTTCACTATGTGTCAGAACATTCGAACAAAGAGAGTGTCAAGCTTCTTCTAGATCACGAAGCAGATCCAGGTGTACAGGACTTACAGGGCATGACACCTCTCCACTGTGCAGCAAAGGCCAGAGACAACACCTGTGATATTTTGGAGATGCTGTTGGAGAAGAGTGTGGACCCAAATGTTCTTGACAAGAAAGGAAGGACAGCTCTTCACTATGCTTTAGAACAATCACCAGTCAAAAACATAAAGCCGGTTCAACACGGTGCTTACACAGATGTACAGAATTTGTTTGCCAATATACCTCTTCATCCAAAACCTCTTCATCCCAGACCTAGTGACATTATACCTCTTCTCACTAAAACAGGTGCTCGTAGGACAACTATTTACCGAAGTGAATTCGAACAAGAATATGGAACACTACTGTGTGAGTATAGAAGGATGAAAATGCTGGAGATGCTTCTCAAGAAGGTCAACCCAAAAATACATGATCACGAAGGAAGGACAGCTTTACACTACGCTGCACAGGCTTCACGAAATGAAACTTTAGAGATTCTTTCAGAACTTGGGGTCACTGTACATAAGCAAAATGACCAGGACAGGGCCTTTTTCCGGTCTGCTGCTGACCGCAGCTACAACAGGTGTGAACGAGTGAAGCTGCTACTCAGACGGGGCGTCGACAAAACTGTTCGAGACAGACAGGGGAGAACAGCTGAGCAGTATGCTACAGAACTATCAGATATCAATCCGTGACTTCTCTGGAGATGGTACACCATTCGGCACAGAATTAGAGAAAAGCACGGGAATGTCGAGAACAATTGTGGCCATTCTGGATTATTGTAAAGTAGACAATGCAACCCAGACGTGAAGGGGAAAGAAGGAACGGGAGGGTTTCGGCGGTATTTATATAGTAGCACTTGGCGGTGGGGTATCCTTGTGGTTAAAGCGGTAACGCGTTAAAGCGTTAGGTCATCACCCAGAAGACCAGGTTAGATTATCAACATGGGTACAATGTGTGAAGTTCATTTCTAGTGTGAACCAAATAACTCCATATTGAAAACAAGCCCCAGTGAGCCGGCAGTACCGTGACCGTGTGGAAATGTTACCTTTGCTTCATATACGGCTTTGGCATTGGAGAAAGGTCAGGACGGAAGACAGAATAACTTGGTCAAGGGACAGTGAGACAGTCTATCAGTGTGCTGTTCACTAATCTTGAACTGTTTCAAATTAAGCTTGTAGATCTAACTAAAGCTTTCTTTCAGCGTCTGCATGGGTTTTTCGGAACGCTCATGAATAAATTAAGTTCCTTGGTCCTCTAGAGTTATTACATGTAAAGGGTTTTTAGAGACAAATAGATATAGGCATGCGCAGTATGGCCAAACAAATGGAGCCCATACAAACCTGTGTACATTCCTTTTAGTTCTGCGATATATATTCTCTTTACAATGTGAAAGCTGGTTATATGTAGATCATACAGGGAACGAAACAGACAGCCTGCAGTTGTAGATATTGTGCTTCAGTATGATACGGCCATCAAAATGTCTTTTCTATGGGAGGTAGCTGGTTAAAATTGCATTGTTATGTCATAGTGTTGTCATAGAGTAAACCATTTCAATGAGTTTCTGTAAAACTTCATATATTCAAACAACATAATTGTTTCCATATATATCCAAAGTGCACCGAAATTCTATCCACTTTGTCTGTCTAATGTATTCAGCAATCATTCGGTGTGGCCCTTTTATCATAGACCCCCCTCAGGGCAGGACCCTTAATCTTCAATGCCATCAGTAAATGTCATTTAATGGTGTAGCCACGGTCAGCTTGCGCCAGCTGCTTAACAAAATATCTGACCATGGCATTTACGACAGGACAAGGAGGATGGCATGATGGTAATCTCAATCTTGTTCAACAAAAGTTGATTTTCGATTACGACTTAGTTGGTGGTAGATATGCTCCTGCTGGGATGGGACTATTTATCTGTGCTTGACCAAGCGATGTACCCGAGAAGAAAGGCCAGAGCCGACATAGCTCGCTAGCTTCATCTTTGATTAATTAGTTTAAGGTTGGCGTGGATGCGTTTGCTAATTGCCCACTACTGCGCTTGACATGCGGGCTATAAACAAGACACATTATGCACTGCGACTTGTACGTATACGGATTTTCTTTGTTATGAATAATTTGTGAAAAATATAAAAATGTATGAAGAAATATATGCACTGTAATAGTTACATAGGCACATCGAAAATGACCCAAGTCTTTGTCTGTGTTTTAAACGGTGCTAACGTTAAATTTTGCAATTATAATGTAACCTGCTTGTGACAAAGGTTAGCTCCCCTTAGGCTCCCAAACCTTTCTCGAACCCTCTGGGTCAGATTACACTGGAAAGGCCCATGCGATTGTTGTACCTATCAGAACCCTGTCTAAAAACAGAACAAGTCTAAAAATGCATTCCATTGCCCTTTATTGAATGTGAGCAGGAGCTTAATTACACACTTTAAACACTGATTCACAGTGAAGACCACTGTCACATGCAATTGGTTTTGGTTTTCAGCAAGTGATCTCATGAATGATGTGATATGCTGTAATATGAGATGCTTATGTGTATTCCTTTGGATCTGACAATGTACAAGCAGGACATTATCACCAATTCTTGGTTAGCGTTTCAATAACAACTTCGACTGTATCACTAGATGTTTATTGCAGTTATGATGGCTTCAGTTCTTTGATGCTATTATTCGTTCTTGTTTTGTTTGATATTTTATACATATATATATTTTTGTATGTGTAACAGCCAGTGTCCGTGTACGGTTGTGAAGTATCAATTTCTGTGAAAAACCGTGATGTGTGAATATAGTAAGAAATAGTGAGGGTGGATGTGATAGTTATTGTTTTTATCATAACTTGTTTTATATACCATTGTTAGTATTATCAATTTTGTATATTAACTTTTCTTAGAATGACCCGTGATGATTGATGATCCGTGACTGCTATGAGACCTTGTTTACACTCTGTGGTTAGTGTACTACATATGATCTTGTATGTAATGAACTCTCTATATATTCTTCATGTATATCATAAATGATATACATAGATATGAACGAATAGTTTTCATCTTATTATTTATATTTAAAGATTTATTTATGCTAATGCATTGTTAGGGCTAGCTGTATTCTAAGAATATGTAGAACGTGTAATACGTGTATATGTAAGGCATGTTATGCCTTTATGCTCAAATAGTTAATTATATTTATGTATATTTTCAGAATTATCAAACATTCCTTTTTATTGGATGAATAAAATGGCTGCCATCTGTGACCACAAGTAGCGTTATGTTGTGTGTTCTACACCCACCCACCAACATTCAGCCCATGGCTACTACTATATTGACGTCTGTGTTGGTGTGTTGAACTGTGACGTGTGTGTTGACGTCGATGTAAGTGTGGAACTGTGACGTCTGTGTCAGTTTGGAACTGTGGCGTGTGTGCTGACGTCTGTGTCAGTGTGGAAGTGTGACGTGTGTGTTGACGGCTGTGTCGGTGTAAAACACTGACGTGTGTGTTGACATCTGTGTAAGTGTAAAACTGTGACGTCTGTGTCGGTGTGTCAAACAGTGACGTGTGTGTTGACGTCTGTGTCAGTGTGGAGCTGTTACGTGTGTGCTGACATCTGTGTTGGTGTGGAACAGTGACGTGTGTTCATGTCTGTGTCGGTGAAGAACTGTGACGTGTGTGTTGACGTCCTTGTCAGTGTTGAGCTGTGACGTTTGTTTTGACGTCTGTGTCATTATGGAGCTGTGACGTGTGTGTTGACGTTTGTGTCAGTGTGGAACTGTGACGTTGCCGTCTGTGTCGGTGTGGAGCTGTGACGAATGTGTTGATGTCGATGTCAGTGTGGAACTGTGACGTCTGTGTCAGCTTGGAACTGTGGCGTGTCTGCTGACGTCTGTGTCAGTGTGGAAGTGTCACGTATGTGTTGCCGTCTGTCTCGGGTGTTGAACACTGACGTGTGTGTTGAAGGCTGTGTCGGTGTGGAACACTGACGTGTGTGTTGACATCTGTGTAAGTGTGACACTGTGACGTGTGTTGCCGTCTGTGTCAGTGTAGAACGGTGACACCTGTGTCAGTGTGCAACAGTGACGTGTGAGTTGCCGTCTGTGTGGAGCTGTGACGTGTGTGTTGACGTCTGTGTCAGTGTGGAGCTGTGACGTGTGTGTTGACGCCTGTATGAGTGTGTAGAGCTGTGACATGTGTGTTGACGTCTGTGTCAGTGTGTAGCTGTGGCGTGTATTAACGTCTGTGTCAGTGTGTGGAACTGTGACGTGTGTGTTGACGTCTGTTTCGGTGTGTGGAACTGTGACGTGTGTGTTGACGTCTGTGTTGGTGTGGGGAACTGTGGCGTGTGTGTTGACGTCTGTGTCGGTGTGTGGAACTGTGACGTGTGTGTTGACGTCTGTTGCGGTGTGTGGAACTGTGACGTGTGTGTTGACGTCTGTTTCGGTGTGTGGAACTGTGACGTGTGTGTTGACGTCTGTGTCGGTGTGTTGAACTGTGACGTGTGTGTTGACGTCTGTGTCGGTGTGAAAGTGTGACGGGTGTGGAACTGTGACGTGTGTGTTGACGTCTGTGACGCTGTGTGGAAGTGTGACGTCTGTGTTGACGTATGTGTGAGTGTGTGGAGCTGTTATATGTGTGTTGACATCAGTGTCAGCGTTGACCTGTGACGTGTGTGCTGACATATGTGTCGGTGTGGAACCGTGACTTGTGTCTTGACGTCTGTGTCGGTGTGGAACCGTGGCTTGTGTGTTGACGTCTGTGTCAGTGTTGTTCTGTGACGTGTGTGTTGACACCTGTGTCAGTGTGGAACTGTGACGTGTTTTGCCGCCTGTGTCAGTGTGCAACATTGACGCGTGTGTTGCCGTCTGTGTCGGAATGGAGCTGTTACGTGCGTGTTGACATCTGTGTCCGTGTGGACCTATGACATGTGTGTTGACATCTGTGTCCGTGTGCGGAACTGTGACGTGTGTTCACTTCTGTGCCAATTTGGAACTGTGACCTGAGTTTTAAAGCTAGCGTCAGTGAGTTTGCCTGTAATGTAGACGGTTGAAGTTGACGATGCCACCTCTGATTTGTTGTTTGAGGCTGAATAGTCCATCCTCTTTCCCTGAAACACGTTGCAGTACATTGTGACAGAAAACACCATTCATGCTGTTGATCACTGGGTTGTCTGGTCCAGACTCGACAATTTACAAACCGCCGCCATATAGCTGGGATATTGTGTGACGTTACACAACGAACACAAACAATACAAAACAATACAACTAAACAGTTTTTGAGAGTTTCATTATACCGATCACGCGCTGCCATAAAACAAACATGATGCTTAAAAGATAATACATGTATATTAATACAGAGCCGTGGCATGGCCGTGTGTTTTATATTTATCATATAATATCAACTCAACTATTTTCAGCTGCTAATAAATAATTAGAGGTTTACCTCATAACCAAGCTAGTTTGAGAGTAGTATGGTAATCACTAATACTTTAACTAGACATATGTGACTTTCCTTCATCAAAGTAGATAATACAAAGTTTATCGTTTTCTTAATGGAGCTTTAATAACTTCTAGGTTTTACAGAAGTATCCGAAACTGAATCGATCTGACCGTCGCTCGGAGGCGTCCCGTTATGATACTGAAGTATGGGGACAGGCTTCTTGTTGTTTTAGTTGTATAAATAAAGATGACGCCCCCACTGATATTTATAAGAAATCTCCGTTTAAGCAGAGGCGGGGAACGGTTCGAACTATATTATTAGCAGGTCTTTATACAGACTGGGTCTCGGTGTCTGATGCGCGCGAACCGTGGTAGTCTTTATAAACCACTAATATATAGCGATGGTACCTGGTTTTATGAGTGTAGCCTGCATGCCAATACTACCCAACTGTTCGCACGAAAAAGGCGAAGAGCATATGTTTCCAGAGAAATACGGAATTGCATTTGGCCTTTGTGAGCTACTGATGCTTATAATTTGGAAATGCCCTCCAAATGTTAACTGTGAAAGCTTTACCTGTGTCTTGATTGTTTCCAGCAAAGAGTTATGTGTTATTTTCTTTGAAATCGTGGTGAAAAGAGCATGCTAGATTCTACTTAGGAGATAAACGTACTGTGTTTTGAAATTAGATGAATGTTACACCGAATTGATAGTCTCTTAATTTCATTTGAAGCCGAACGCGTAGCCGTTTTCTTGCGAATATTTCCCATTCTAAACCGAAATAAATATACCATTTACCAGGTAGGCAAATGTTTACAAACGTTTTATTGCAAATTTTGCATAGATAGGGATGTATTTTTACAAGGCTTTCTGATTTATAGGTGAGATATTGTTTGTTTATGTTTGGGGCTGTGTATTGTAATTGAGTTTGAATATTATTATAATAGAAGGTTATATGATAGTGAGTTTCCCTAATAATTGCAGAGAAAAAATCATATAATTGTATTTTTCGAGTTTTAATAAATGTTTTGTAAGCA